ATATTGAATAACATCCCTTCCTAGTATCTGAGACTTATCATGACACCGGGTTAGCAAAATGGGATGATCTGAGACTGCAAATGCAGAGAGCAGGCATGATTTACAAGAAATAAAAATGCTTTTATATCATAATCTAAACCAGCTCAGGAATTTTCCTAGGGACTGTGGCGTATTGTAAAATATAGTCCATGGCATTTTGTGACTCTGGACGTGGCTTTGAAAGTCAACAGACGTGATTTCTGGGAAGTAACTCTCTGCTTGCTGGAATTTATCCAAAGCTACAACAATCCAGCCTTCAAATCTCTTAATGACATTCCTGCAAGACAAGTCCATTGGCACTCCCGTGCCCTTTATGAACAGTAACAATTATTCCAATAGTCATCCTATTTTGAATAGAGTCACAGAAAACTAGTGTGTTTCCCACAGCAATGAGTTTAATTGTCAATATGTGTAAAAACACACTTCCAAGGAGAAATTTTAATATCAGCATAATTTAGGGCAAAATTGTGTACCTCTTACTTGAATTGGTGAGCAGTTACTTGCACAAACAATCCCAGTCAAGTCAATGGGACTACTCACGTAATTGCTCACCAATGTGAGTAAAGGGTCTGTCTCAACAATAACGGCTTATACTTAGGGACAGCTTTTGATACCCATACTCCCACTGAGTAGTTATTCTGTAATCAGTGTTGCCAACTCTCATTATTTTTACGGTGAGACTTGTGATATTTGTTGTCTTAAAGTCTTAGCTTCTGGAGTCCTGTGAAAATTCGATGAAAATCTCAGCCTTTGTTGAAAATATGTCTGGCCCTCGTGGTTGAAGAGGAAAACCTGAAAATATGACCTGAATGTACCCTGAAGACTCAGAAACCAGAATGAAAATAAAAACCTGGTGGCTCTTAGATCTCGTGATTTGCAGGCCAATCTTGCGCTGTTTTTTGAGGCCTGACTTGCAATTTCTGAACACTTGAGGATAGCAATGCTGAAATGGTAGCCGTTGCTTTCTCCCCAACCAAAAAATGAAAAAATCTGTCCACTCCTGAGGGAAAGAGGAGAGCTCTACTTGCCTTCTGCCACACTGAAAGCATGGGTCAGTGCTGCTCTTCTCTATCAGCATCAGCAGGCCTGAGCCAAAGGGGGCATGTGAACAGCTCTGGGAAGGGCCACAACTTGGGAGGGGAATGTGAAGAATCTCCACAGCTGCAGAAGGAGCAGAGGTGTACTGGGGACAAGGGGCAGATGAACACTGGGGCTATGCATATAAAGTGAACGTGAGTTTGGGAGCAGGGACAGATACGAGGGCTGGGCACACAAAACTAATTGATTTGGGTCTGGGTGGGCAATGGTCTAGAAAGGAACCAAAGACAAACGCAAGGGCGCCAGGAGGCTGTAACACACCCCTATTAAAATGTAAAAAAAGGGCAAATTAACAACTCTAAAAATAAAACAGGCATCTATCAATGGAAACAAAATAGCTGTAATCAAAACCAGCATAAAAGAACTCCCTAAAAAAACTTAATAAAAAAACAAAATAAAAAAATAAATTTTTTTTAAAAACAAGCATTCATCAAACAATGAATTACAGCATAACGGTGCAAAACTCATTGGTCCCAATAAAAAAAAATCACTATATAAACAGGGTTCTTGCCATAAATCTTTGGGTTCGTCCTGCCAAGACTTCCCCAGAGCATCGTGTCACGACCGACAGAACCCGGCTCCTCCTTACCAGTGATCAATCTAGCTGGCCACTAGGTTGATCCGGACTCTAAACTGGTAACTATAACATCGACTGGCGGGACAGTGTGTGTGTGTGTGGTGTAATTAAATGCATATGCTAATTGTTAAGCATCAGAGGGGTAGCCATGTTAGTCTGGATCTGTAAAAGCGGCAAAGAGTCCTGTGGCACCTTATAGACTAACAGACCTATTAGAGCATGAGCTTTCATGAGTGAATACCCACTTCGTTCATCCTCCCTGACTGAACTAACTTCGTTATCCCTAGCCTGATTCTTGTTTGCATATTTATACCTGCCTCTGGAAATTTCCACTACATGCATCCGACGAAGTGGGTATTCACCCACAAAAGCTCATGCTAATTGTTGTATCTTCAATAAACATGGCGTTTTGCCTTTTCCCCTGAAAAAAATCCCGTGCGCTTCTTATAAGCATAACACTTGGTTGATGCAGGAACATGGGACCCAAAAATGAAAGTTACTTAGCAATACCAGGAGTTCTTGGCGATGAGTCCAGCAGGTGGAGCTGAGGGGCACAGAATTAACTGCCATTTTGGGGTCTGAGGAGAATCCGAGAGCACCCTGAGGCAGCACTTCATACAAATTTGCGACACTTGATACAAATCTGTGTAATTTTATTGACATTAAAGATCTACTGGCTTTGTGTCAGGTCATGTTAGGTCTGGGTTCTGGAGAAACAAAATGAGCTAGAATCCATATGACAAGGACTTAGCTCACTCACGGCTTGCTCAACATCACTCCCCCTTTGGTTGATGGAGTTCAAAAATCAGAAGACAGACCAAACATGACTAATCTTTTTGGCCAAGCTTGTGAGGCCCTACACTCACCACAAGGGCATTGCTCTATCTACAGTGCAATCACTTTTGAAATCTACATCCAACCAATTCCTAAATTTCTGAGAATGTTCTCAGCATCAAAGGGGAGAAAACTGCTTTTGGTGAAAACTGGAAGGGGAAAATGGGGGACATGTGGAACCCCTGATATCTGGTTAGTAGTCTCATCAGCTTCAAACACCTCAAATTGTCTATATATCCCTTAATGGCAGCAATTAACACCTTCCAGCATAATATCCCCATCTCACTTTAGAATGTTGACATTTTGAATGGCCTATTACAGAGACTATGGACATTTCTGTGATAATTTTATGAAGCGATGCATGACTCAGTTTCCCCCTCTCACTTTGTATTGCTACCCACTGGTTGTGAAGGAGTTAATTTTCCCATGTGGCAGGGAAATAAGGGTGTTGGTGTTACTTAGACATGGGTGGGTTGGTGTGAATTAACTGTCAAAGTATCAAAGGAGTTGCCTCAGAGGTATAATGGAATACAAACAACCAGATAACACCTGGAGCCAAGGGAAGCAGAACATGTGAACACAACATGCATGCAACTTGAAAGAAAAGCCTACATGTGGACATACTATAAAGGCCTACAAGGGAATATATGGTTGCTGCTGCTGCTACCTAGGGCAGAGAGACAGATGAAATCCAGGAGGCTTTGGAAGAGAGGGTGGGTAATTTTGCAAACATGGGCTCTCAGTTAAATTTTGCTTTTCCATGGTAACCTGAGGACCCTTAAATATTGTGTTCCAGTTGACTGATAAATGCTGGCTTGTTTTGAAGGGCTGTCCTGCTGGCTGTGTCACTCCTCAAAGCAGTGAAGTCTCTCCCAGGGGTCTAAACTCGCTTGGACTGGCGGAAGAGCCATGCTGAGAAGCCAGAGGTCCCAGTGTTGGGGTAGTGGAGGTGCAGAACTCACCAGTGCGAAAAGTGAAGGTCTAGGGCCTAGAACAAAGGTGATGCTCCCAGAAAGACTGTATGAAAGCTTTCAGAGTAGCAGCCGTGTTAGTCTGTATTCGCAAAAAGAAAAGGAGGACTTGTGGCACCTTAGAGACTAAGGTGCCACAAGTACTCCTTTTCTCTTTCTATGAAAGCTGGAGACACAGAGCACACACCCTGTAAATTGTGACACCTGTCTGATAGAAATAAGAGACTAGGGTACACAGACCCCAGTAGGTGGCCACCCAGAACCTGCAGCATGGGGAGGAATCAGGGAGGGGGCACACAGAACTACTGGTATGTACGAGGAATAGGGAGCAACAGTGTCTGGGGAGGGGGTGGGGCTGTGATAGGACTGAACCCCCATCATCTGCAAGAGTAGCACAGGTACCCAATTAGTCCTGCTCTGCAGCTGGGGAGGTGAGTCACTACCTGACTCCTGGCCAGAGGGAGCAGAGCTAAGCCATAATAAGTAGACTGAAGGTGGTTGGTTTGTAGAGGAGACTGGCTTTTTCAGCTGAGAGGAGTTCAGGGTTAGGATACAGAGACAACAGGGAATATGGGGGTGGTATAGGCTCCTGCAAGGGAAGTCCTGAGGTACAGTTTGTAAGGATTTTGGTAGCCCAGAAGGGTAGGAGAACTATTCAGTTCTGTTTGGACTTGTTTATGATACCTTGGAAGGGGTCTGAACTTAAGTGATATGGCCAAAGGGCTGAGCTGCAGAAGACCTGGGCCTGGAGGCAGGCAGCTGGCAGGAGGTGCTGGAGCCAAAGGTGGCAGCAACATCCTGCACGGATGCAAGGGGTGCTCTGAGGGTGTGTGAGCCCTGCTACAGGGGCAAATGGAGTCCCTGGCATGGGGTGGGGGCTGGTTATAGAGAGTCCTTGAAGTACAGGAGGATGGTACACATGGTGATTGTGGGTGAGAATAGAGGGATAAGGAGCCAGTGGTGTGCACAATGAGTTCAGTTTACTGAAGTAACAAAATGTTATTAGCTTAACTCCCCTAGCTTTATATATATACAAAACCCATTTCTTGTGTGTGGGGGATCCTAACTCATTATTTTTAAACTTTGGGGTTGATAATATTGCTCCCATGAGAACTGTGAGCCCCTGAAGTGCAGGGGTAAGTTGCAGCATGCTCCTGTAGGCGTTCTTTGGGAAGGGCAGGGCTTTGTTATACAGGACGAGTCCCTCAGCCCATGCAAACACGACTTTGTTGAAATCAGTGGTGCTAAGTTGACTTACATCGGCTGAGGGTCTGTGCCAAAATGGGTCCAGTAATATTATTCATAGTGTGTTTGGGGGAGATACGTATTTTTTCCTTAGAAGAAAAAAAAGCAATACTTGTATCCAACAAATCTATTTATTTACAAAACACTTGTACAAATTCAAGATATTATTTCAATGTTTAAAAAAAAAATCTAGTCAGACAAAAAACAAAATGTGCCTTTATGTATTTCAAAGTATGTCTTTTGAAATGATTGTACATCGATACTTACTATTCATGACAAATTATGTCTCAATGTTACAATCAGTATGATACAAACTGATAGAGGATAAAAATCTGAAAATGGAGGGTGACAATCCCTCTTAAACTCCCTTGTGAAACAAACAAACCAGCACTTTGAGTTAAAGCTAGGGTTAAAACTCTGATCTGGAGTTTCCTGGCTTTTGTTAGTTTGTATCAAGCATATTTTTATCTAAATGTGGGTTTCCCTTGCATACTTTTTAAAAAGCAGAATGCTCTTCCTGAATATTCATAGAATATGAATGATTTACCCAAAAGACTCAGCTGGTTTCTTTGGGATAGGGTTCTACAGCATCTCTAAAGTAAATGCATATTTAAGCATATCAGAGAGGACCAACTTTTTTTTCATGTCCTAGCAAATCCTCTTTGGCTGAGGTCAAGTCCCTGATACCAAAAGGCCTGACAAGGCTAACAACAGCAGTTGAAATAACCCAGTGTGAAGAATGCTGACAGATGTTGACACACAGAAAAACAGATGCAGATATTTTATCTTCTGTGGGGCTGATCACACATCATGATGTTCTTGCATGGCTAGAAGCTATGGAATAGCACTCCAGTGAACAGTCAGGCTTGCTGGGTGCTCGCTTCAGATGTGAGCAGGTAAATGGCATGAGCAGTCATGTCCACTAGTAGTTTTGCACAGTCTTCCTTTCTGGTTTCTGCTGTTAGTTATTTCTCTTCAAGAATTTCTGGAAAGGGGAAAAATACTGTCAGTTCTCTGGTCTGGCCTCCTTCAAGTGCAGTGGAAACTATGTTCCATTATTGCATCGCCATGATAGCAAAGTGCATTACAAAGGTAGCAAAGTATCCATGCCCCCACTTTACAGGTGGGGAAACTGAGTCATAGAGGTTGAGCACCTTATACTATGTCACACAGGACCAGATTCTGGTACCCTTACTTATGCTGAATAGCACCTTATTCTATTGAAGTCAATGGGACTACTTCTGGATTAGCGTAATACTTGCTGGGTGTAAATGTGTCAGAATATGGTTTACAGTCACTAGGTAGCAGCACTGGGAATAGAACCCAACAGTCTTGATTCTCAGGACCCCACTGTAACCAACAGAAGACACTGCTTCACTTGAAAACTTTGCGTCAGTGAACTGGAAGCATGATGCACCACAAAACCCACAAATGCTCACAAGAGCAAGCAGCAGGCAGGCAGACAATGCCAAACCAGAAACACACACAACTACACGTGGGCCACATTCATGATCAGATTTCCCTTCCCAGTCAGAAAACTTTCAAGCGCCCAGGACTGAAAGCCTCATATCTGCTATTCGGACTCCATTACAGGAGTCTGTTAAATGGTTAACCTAGTAACCATGTATGTTTCCACAGGCCTGGCTCTTCTATAAAGTTAAATTAGAGTTGAGCTATGCACAGTCCATCTATTCATTTAACAATTCTCGGCTATCAGGTCAACTTCCTATTGGAATTAACTTCAGTGCACCTGACAGTTTGTTTCTGAACAGCTGTTTGGTAAGGTGACCTTTGGAAAGAGCCATCACTGTGTTTCTGCATGTGCTCTAGTTTAGGGCATGCAATTATTATTTAAACAAGCTTATTCCACTACCCCATACTGTATTCCTATACTTGGGCTTCACCATCTCCCAAAGGATTAGTTTCCTACTGGAGTCACTTATCCATCAATATTTTTTCTTCTTCTATGCTTCTGAGCATAATGGAAATCATTTCAGTGCATTTTGTAAAGGGTTACATTGTGCATTTGTTCTACACCAATATTATGGGTCTCTACTAAGGGGTGACAAATTAAACTCTAGGCCCTGATCTTGCTGCCTCTCATGTCAATGATAATACTTCATGCAGGCAGAGAATCCACTTCCTCATTGCGTCTAATATGTAAATACAATGCATGTAAGCTAGGCTTTTTTAAAATTAAGGGCTCATAAGATCTTGACCAGGCATGTACCACAATTCCCCTTCAGAATGAGCATCTTGATATATTTGATTTAAAGACCCAGAAACAAAGCCACACAATGATGACTCCGTGATTTAAGAAAAAGGGGTTTAAACCCAGTGTTTTCAGGACTCCTGTACACTGTGCTGAAAGGGGATCCTCTCATCCAACGGTATCTCCCAATATCAGAATGTCAGTGCTGTCAATCCAAGGGTTTTGAGATCCAGGAAACGCAGCTGCTAAAGATATGTAGTAGACTGATAACAGGTTCTGAGACTTGTCTTTCAAATGTCTAATGTTGGAGTTATAAAGAGTTTAGTACAGACTAAAGTAAAATATTTCCTCAAATCCCAAAGTTGCATTCCCTACAACTTGCATCGAAAAACCTCAAAGTGGAGCATTCTAGAAAAAGCCAGGGCAGAGGAGGCATCCTTATGACTTACCTGTATCATGCGTGATGCTAGCTTGGATGTGCTGTTCAGACATTTTCTTTGCCCGCTCCCTTTCAGTGTGATGCTGTCAGGAGAAAAGATGACTTAGCATGAAATGGGACATGACCGAATAAATACTAAAATACCGTGCGCTGCACAGTATTAATTGTGCACTTACATCACTTCGACTTGCTGACAGCTGCTGCTTTGCCCATATATTTCAACCTTTGCAATATGTTTTGGGTGGATTGCAGGTGCACCAGCTGTCACACAAAGACAGCGTCCTCTGCTGGAGGTTGGCATTCCTACGATGACATAAAGAATACGGACATATAAATACATTTGAGCACAGCATTGTTTATTATGATAAAACTACTGGGCCAAATTCTCCTTTCTCTTACGCTGGTGTAACTCCACCAAAGTCAGTGTAAGTTTAGCAGATGTGAGAGGTGAAATAAAATAATAGATTTTCGGGGAAGGGGGGCTTATTGCCTGTGTCTGAATTGTCTTCTGACAGATCAGGGCGGAGAGAGCCGGTTCTTCAAATGTATTCAGGAAATCAAATAATTGAAATCAGTGGAAGTTAGGAACCTAAATACCTTTGAGAAGCTGAGCCAGAATCACTTGTTAAGCAGTATTTAACCCTTTCATTTCCAGCAGAGGTGGTTCCAAATAACATTTCAACCACTGCCTCAATAAATGAAAGTTCGGCATGATCGTGGCAGCGTCGGAGACATTTGCACAACAGCACCTGCATGGAGCTGGTGGTGTTAATCCTATACTTTCCCTTTCCGTGATCATGGATAATAAAATTATATCTCTGTAGTGAAGAGCATCTATATTACCATAAGCTGAGCATTAATTTACACTTTGCTTGACAAATCAGACCTTTTCTGCTGGGAGAGACCAGTTTCCAGAAGGGGAGGGGAGAAACCACTTTAAGTAACAAAATAAGATTGTACAAAACGAGTGAATTTTTTCCTGTTTGTAGCTTGTTTTGCATTGCCAATTACAAAAAGCCAACAGCTGCCTCTTATTTACTGCCTTAAGTATTTCCTGATACTGTGTCTGAGCAGCTGTTAGCAGGTTTGATCTCTAACATAACACTTGTAAGAGACTGCAAAGCGTTTAACAAGGGGTTTTGTGCTAAGGGTTTGAGATAGTTGATAGTTTTAAGACATTACAGGAAAGAGGAGTGAAGAGCAATGAAAGTTTGCAGGAATAATATAAAGATCAAGCTGTGCCAAGGGAAATGCTACTGTACCTTGCACCAGAACTGCAGCCAGAAGAAGCAGGAGTGAGAGACGAATAAGAGACTTCATGTTCAGCTGCTGCTGCTCCTCTTCCACTTGCTGCTCACTTGGAGGCAAGTAGATGTGGTGTGGGGTTCAGAGGGAGCTTCTGGACTGCTATTTGTAGGGCATTTTCACTTAGTCTATAAGTCTGTAGGCGGGAATTCCCACATCAGAAAACCCCATCTATCTTTCAACAGCCTGGTTTTCTTCCCCGTAGATAAGCAAGTCTGTGCTAGTTTCATTTTCCCAGTTAGAAGAAATCCTTACCTATTCCTCTCAATCCAAGGATCTGATCATTTATGATTTTATTATTTAGTTAGTTTTATATTGGCAGGCCCTGGCTCTATGTGCCGGCTGACTTAGGCATGCTAGTTTCCATCCAAAAACTCTTCCCTCCCCCTGCCCTAGATTTACCATTTTATATGTGGTAAGAATTGCACCTCAGTATTAGAAATTAAAGTATATCATCACCGGGGCTAAATGGGTGCAGATGATCATAGGAATTGCAAGACTGGCTCAGATCCAAGGTCCATCTAGGCCAGTATCTTGTCTCTGGCAGTGGCTGGCCCCAGATGCTTCAGAGGACAAGAAGGTGTAAGAGGCCCCCAGTACGCAGACGTGAAACAATCATCTCCTCTCCTCCTCCCTCCCCGTCCCCCACACCCCATATTAGGTCTCATCCTGGGATCTAATATTTGGAGAAGGGCTTAAACTCTCAAACACAAGTTTAATATTGCTTCAGCAACATTTTTGTTCGCATTGATTATAACTCTGGATATTCTTGATATCGATATAAATGGCTAATCCCTTTCTGAACCTCGTTATGTTCTTGGCCTCAGTGAAGTCCACAGTCTAATTACATGTGTGAAGAAGTATTTCCTCTTCTAGACTTTTAATTTCCTACGTTTTAACTTCAACTGAACCCTTGCTCTTGTGTTATGAGACAGGGAGGATTTTTGTGTATATGTGGTTCCCTCAAACCTCCTATTCTCTTTCCATTTACCTTCATATCTCCACCACTTCCATTAATTGCTGGAACCCCTCATTGGCAGAGGATAGCTGGATGTGGCTACTGCCAGAATTACAATACTGTTAGCCAGGAGGAGTTGCCCAGTGCCCTATGTTTCCTTTTATGGAACTATTAGTCACTTGGAACCCACATTAAACAAAGTATTAAAATTTTGACTAGTGTTATCAAAAGGCTGATTACTTCCAACAGGATAAAGTCCAAACGAATTAACATTCAGTAAAGCTTAAGACTGAGGACTCAGGTTTCCACCCATGTAATAAACTAAATTATACTTTTTTGCTAGCTGTTAAAAGCAGGTCACAACAGAACACCCTGCAATTCTGTAGTTCATATTAGGTTGTACTGAAAGGCAGATGACAGGTCTCCTTTTCCATTCAGTTAGCAGTGTTCATTGTCAGCTGCAGACACAAAAAGGGTCAACCTAGACAAATGTTTCAATGCCTTATTTAAGTAAGATGTTAAACTTTTAAGTTACTGAACTGTTTGTTCTTCTTTTCTCTTGTAGGCTACAGGAGCTTTCAGATTAGTTTTTGTATTTTAAAGGCTTCTTAGATGGATATGATGATAGAAAGTCCTAGCTATTACTTCACCTAGGCTTTTAATATTAAGTCTCTAGTTCCAGGTACAAGGCAAGACAGCTGGTTGGACGTACAGAACAGGAGCCTCCACTTAAGTCTGGCTTGGTTTGGTTCATCTTCTACTGATTTGGGTTCTCAAAAGATGGCTTTCCTCCTCATGATTTGGTCCTTGATTCTGCAGGAACAGAAGTACCCTTAAATGTCCTAAATAATTCTCTTAAAGTATGGAGATGCCTTTCTCTGACCTTAGTGAGAAACAAAGTTACCCTTAATTACTGAGTTGTCATTCTTCAGGTTCTGCTGAACAAAATCTTAAGAACCTTTAACTTCTAGTCTAGGTTTTAATTCTGAATATGCTTTTGCATCTGCTGCCTAGTACTCTTGGCACTTACTTACGCCTCTGACTTTCAGCTTCAAACTCTGGGCTAGTCTACAGTAGGGCCTTGTCTATAGCACGTCTGAGGAAAATGCTCTATGCCATGGGAAAGAGCTCTCCCGTCGGCATCATAACTCCACCTCTGTGAGAGGTAGTAACTACATTGGCAGGAGAAGCTCTCCTGCCAACATAGGGCTGTCCACACCAATGATTATTCACACCCCCGAGTGACATAAGTTATACTGAAGTAAGTGGTAGTGTAGACAAGGGCTCACTTGCACTCTGCTTCTCTCTCTTTCTCCCCCGCTGCCCGGCCCCAGAAATCCCCTGCCTTCATCCTCTTGGTTCTAGTTCATTTCCACTTCCCACAAGACAATTTGTATTCAGAAGTGAATAGGGTCTTTGAACAAGACTTCTTTGTGTGGGTGGGTGAGTGGGTGGGTGGGCTTCTCTTTTTCTGGGTAGGAAAAGGGCAAATTGAGATGGTTTTTATTTATAATTGCCTAGAATGCTCTTACTCCCCCCCCCCCACCCCCATTGCAGCACAATCTCGTACTCTTTGCCTTTTGTTAAAATTAGTTCAAACTAAACTTTGGGTCGCACCAGTTTCAGCTAACACAGCTAAAAATCACAGAACACGTAAAATCAGATAGCTTCTTGCCAAGACTGGGGAGCATAGAATGGAAAATGCCCAGCCAAGCTCTATTGTGCTGTCTTCTTTTAAAAGAAATATTACTGTCACTTGATGGAAGAAGCACAACATGTGAATAAAATTAAAGGTGATTCCTCAGTGAGTGTTCAGCTAATACAGCAGTATTATAGCTACAGGGATTTGAAAGGCCGAAATCTGCCTTCAGAAATGTGCCCAGGACTTCCTTTGAAGTTAATGGAAACTACACACATTAATCCAAGGGCAGAATTTGGCTTGTAAGTATGTCACCGTCATCTTCTTTATTTCCATGACGTGTTTATTCCGGATCAACTTTCAAAATGCACCTTGGAAAGTTGCTTAAAGTGTGATTTTTCAGAGGTGCTGAGTACCCAAAACTTCCACCTGAAGTCAGTGGGAGCTGCAGGTGCTGAGTAATTAGGCCCTCATGTCCCTTTTTGAATCTCACCATCTGTGAAACAAGAGTACATAATTAGGCCATGATCAATATCCCACTGAAGTCACCGTGAGCCTTTCCACTGCCTTTGGATCAGGTCCGCAGCTACGTCATGATGGTGTTTGTTCAAACATTGATTGATGAGCGTGAAGCATTTCTAAAGTATGCCACCTGGGAACTTAATAACTGAGGCCCACGTGATAAAAACATGACTCATGTTCTAAAATGGGTCTTGCATCACTGCAACTATTTCAATACTGATTCCTTCAAAAGGTTTGTTTCTTAGATCCGCATTAAAATAACAGATCAAAGGGCTGTTCTTAGAAGATGGCCCCTTCACTCCTGATGCAAGTTTGCCTTTTGAAGCTCATGTCCTCCACCTGCTCTGAATGACTAAGAACTGCTCCGGTGTTAGGGGACCAGACTGAAAGGGAGAGTCTGGCAAAGATATGCCAAAGTTTGTAGGTAGAACTAGGCATCATTTAGCCATAATCTATCCCTATCCAAGGTAAATTCACTACTTTCATTTAGCATCTTCTTCATGAGCATGGACTTAGAACTCATGAACTGCACAGCAAAAACACATGGAAGGGCCTTTTATGGCCCATCAGTTTAGCATTCTGAACTGCACAGGTCTGTAAGGTAGTCTGGGGTAGATCCTCAACTGCTGTAAATTGTTGGAGATGTATTGTTGTCAATGGAGCAAGGACAATCCATATCCACTAAGGGTCTGCCCCTCTGTCTGGAAGAGAACACAGCTCTGGTGGCAGAGACCATCCCAGAGGTGGAAGCAGTATCGTGGAAGTGAGTGAGGTCTGTTTTCTGGTCATCTGCCATAGATTAACAACTGCACTGAGGTTAAGAAATCTGTATATTTACATTCTGAATAATTACTTTCTCAGTACATCAGGTGACAACGTGGTTCCATTAACAACCTGTGTAAATAACAAGGTGCATCCACTTTATCTATAACAGTGTGATTTTCATTATTACCACGTGTTCCAGTGGACAACTGGTGCTCCAAAGGCATTCTCTTGTTTTACCACTGTGCAGAAACTGGAGTCATTCGAAGGGCAACCAAATGGCAAACATTGTCTTTACTAAAAAAGAAAAGGAGTACTTGTGGCACCTTAGAGACTAACCAATTTATTTGAGCATGAGCTTTCGTGAGCTACAGCTCACTTCATCAGATGTTTACCGTGGAAACTGCAGCAGACTTTATATACACACAGAGAATATGAAACAATACCTCCTCCCACCCCACTGTCCTGCTGGTAATAGCTTATCTAAAGTGATCAACAGGTGGGCCATTTCCAGCACAAATCCAGGTTTTCTCACCCTCCACCCCCACACACAAATTCACTCTCCTGCTGGTGCTAGCCCATCCAAAGTGACAACTCTTTACATAATCAAGTCGGGCTATTTCCTGCATAGATCCAGGTTTTCTCACATCCCCCCCACCCCCATACACACACAAACTCACTCTCCTGCTGGTAATAGCTCATCTAAACTGACCACTCTCCAAGTTTAAATCCAAGTTAAACCAGAACATCTGGGGGGGGGGGTAGGAAAAAACAAGAGGAAACAGGCTACCTTGCATAATGACGTAGCCACTCCCAGTCTCTATTTAAGCCTAAATTAATAGTATCCAATTTGCAAATGAATTCCAATTCAGCAGTTTCTCGCTGGAGTCTGGATTTGAAGTTTTTTTGTTTTAAGATAGCGACCTTCATGTCTGTGATTGTGTGACCAGAGAGATTGAAGTGTTCTCCGACTGGTTTATGAATGTTATAATTCTTGACATCTGATTTGTGTCCATTTATTCTTTTACGTAGAGACTGTCCAGTTTGACCAATGTACATGGCAGAGGGGCATTGCTGGCACATGATGGCATATATCACATTGGTGGATGTGCAGGTGAACGAGCCTCTGATAGTGTGGCTGATGTTATTAGGCCCTGTGAT